AAGCAATGGGACTGGTACACGAACGTTTCCTTTGTGAGGTCCCACTAGTTTTTCCCGGGATCCCATCCCTACCTTACTTCCCTGGCTGTCCTGCTGTACCAGAAGCCCCCTTTGATTTTTTGACTGCTGCTTCCATGACTGTTGATAGTGGATCCAAGCAAATAATGTCTTTGACAACTTAAATTTTTCTTCATTTATTATGGTGTCATTTATTGGTCTAGTTGTAAGGATATTCGTGTTCTTTACATTGTGGTGCAATCCATATTGAAGGCAGTGTTCTTTATCTTCATCAATAAGTATTTTAAGTCTTCTTCAGTTCCAGTAGGCAATATTATATCATCTGCACATCACAGGTTCTTAGTTAGTCTTCCTTTAATCCTTATGACGCCTTCTTCTTGAATCTAGTTTCTTGGATTATATGCACAATTGTTGTTGTTGTTATAAGCATGGTGAAAGAATACAACCCTGATGCAAACCTTTCCTGATTTTAAATCACTCAGTATCCCCTTGTTCTGTTTGAATACCTGCCCTTGGTCTATATACAGATTCCTAATTAGCACAACTAAGTGTTCTGGAATCCCCATTCTTTGATTGTCATGATTCAGACACAAAAAAGCATTTGCATACTCCATTAAGCTCAAGTAAATACCTTTCTTGTGTCATCTGTTTTCGGTCAAGATCTAACTGACATCAGCAATGATATTCCTCATTCAACATGTTCTTGTGAATCCAGTTTGAAATTCTGGCAGTTCCCTGTCGATGTACCTTTGCAGCCATTTCTAAATTATCTTCAGCAAAATTTTACTTTCATGTTATCTTAATGATATTGTTCAATGATTTTTAGATTCAATTGGGCTGCCTCTCTTTGGAATGGGCACAAATATGTATCTCTTCCAATTGGTTAGTCAGGCAGTTGTTTGCCAAATTTCTTGGCTTAGATAAGTGAGCACTTCATGATATGTCAGTTCTCTGAAATATTTCAAGTTATGCTTTGTTGATTCCAGGACTCCAACTTTACTATACAATCTATGAAACCCTAAATCCTTGAAGGGCAAGTTACCCAATTCCCACCCTGGCAGTAGCCACCCACTCTTACAACTTAGCTATTGACCACTCAATCACTGAAGGTCTGAAGAATGAGGAACGTAAATTGCTTGACAATTGTAGTTTACTTGAAGAAATCAACAGCTTGCACTTCATCTAAAACTTCATTGTTGACCAGTCAGGTTACAGAGTCCTACCAAAATTGGTGCCAATTACTCTTTCCAGCTTAATTATTGTTTTGATGGGCCCTACTCTGGTAGTGTAACGGTTATGAATCGGGCTGCGAACTGCAAGGTCAGCAATTTGAAACTACCAGCTGTTCTGCAGGAGAAAGATGAGGCTTTCTGCTCCCGTAAAGATTTACAGCCTCAGAAATCACAGGGTCGCTATGAGTCAGAACTGACTCCACGGCACATAACAACAACAACTCGGAAACCCAAGAGCTCTGGTAGCATAGTGGTTACAAACTGGACTACTATCCTCAGGGTCAGCAGTTGGAAACTACCAGCTGTTCTGTGGGAGAAAGATGAGGCTTTCTGCTCCTGTTAAAGACTCCCAGCCTTGGAAACCCTGTACTGGGTCGCTATGAGTCAGAACTGAGTCCAAAGCACATAAAAACAACTCGGAAACCCTATACAGGGTTGCTATGGGTCAGAATCGACTCGATGGAACCTAACAACAATGATGACCTCTAAATGAGAGTCCTGGTGTGGTGCTGTGGGTTAATGCACTGGACTACAATGTTGGTTTAGCTTCAAGGTCGGCATTTCAAGCTCACCAGTTGTTCCTTGGAAGTCCTATACGGGGTCGCTATGGGTCAGAACCAGCTCAACAGCACATAACACCACAAACAACAACCTCTAAAGCAGGAACCCTGGTGACAAGGTGACTAAGCTCTTTCCTGCTAACCCCAAAATCAGTGGTTCAATACTATTAGCTGCTCAGTGGAGAAAAATATGACAGTCGGCTTCCATAAAGATGGCAGCTGTAAGAATCCTATCAGGCAGTTCTATTCTGTCCTATAGCATCACTAAGCAATTTCTACTCTGCCATTTTGCATGACATCATTCCCTCTATGTACCTCCACTAAATGTCAGGTATTACATCATGTACTGAGAATAAAAATGTGAGCAAACTGTCATACCTGCCTTCTAGGTGTCTACAGATATTCAAAGATAGTAAAAATTCAAAGATAGATATTCAAAGATAGTAAAAAGGTGAATTCTTATATTAATTCTATTTTTCCATGGATTTTTTGAAGCTTCCCATTTATGAAGAGCATTCCCAACATAGAAAGAAGCAGGAAACAAAGTAGGAAACGTTTTAAAACATTAAACTTAGGAGAAATAATAAGTTATGTGATTTGTTATTTTTATAGTATAAATAATGGATATAGAGAACCATATGAATCATATCATGAATGGCCTTTCTAAGGAATTTGGATGTTTTTTTGTTTTTTTTTAATTCTGCAAGTATTTATTGAGTGCGGGTCGCTATGGGTCGGAACCGACTCGACGGCACTTAACAACAACAACAATATGTGCTAGCTGTTGTTTCAGGTACTTGGGACACATAAGAGAGCAAACAGATCCCTGCCCTTAATGGAGTTTACAGTCTAGTGTTTACACCACTCCACTCCACCTGCACACTGTAACCCTGGACATCTCTGTGCCTCAGGTGCCCAATGGGATAATGAGCAGGCCTGGCACAGACATGTATAACTGTTTGGTATCCTGTAGATGCCCACACTCTACGCTACCCACCCAGACAGTAGATAGGGCTGGAAGCTGATTTTTAACAAGAAAGCACATTGGGGATAGGCCAAAAGGGGTGGAGCTGGATTGTCTGGTGTGGCGGTGGTGCTGAGAAGGCCACGACGGCTACACAAACTGTTGTTTCTGCTGCTTCTTGGTGGCTGCCTTGTTGGCAAGGTCCTTGGCCTTTTCTGTAACTGCCAGTGCTGTCTCCTTTTCCTTTTCCTTGGCTTCCTTGGCGATTTCAACAAATGTTTTAGAAGGGGTCTCACCTTGCAGCTTGGCCAAAATACATTCAAACTCCTTCATAGTCTTGGTCACATTGCTTTTAAACCGGGCCAGACCAAATTCCTGGACAGCTCTTGAGACACCAAACAAACTTAAGGAGACCCAGGCTTCCCGGTGAATTTCGGTCCAGCCACTGTTACCAGAGTTCACACAGTAAACGCAGCGTTCCTCCACCACCATCAGCTGGGTGTGGTTGATGTTCCAAGTGAGGGTGGTCATGGTCTGATTTTGTGGGTCCACAATAGAGTCCTCCAGGATGTACATCGAGTGAGTAACACTGGCAGAAAACAGTCTTTCAGCCCAGCAGGGCATCCTGTTGGTCTTGGTCAGGAGTTGCCTGGACAGGAGCTTCTGGTCAGGGGTCATCTCCCGGTGTACTATGTCCTCCGTCAAGATATATTTGCTGTAGGGGTTCAGAGACCGCTGCCAGAAGGCGGTGAACACTTGGTCCCAGGAACTCCTGAGCACGCTCTGGCCCAGGGGCGGGCTCAGCTCTCGCGCAGCGTTCAGGGTGCTGAGCCCGGGTGCCCGCGGAGGCTTGGCTGGAGGTCGGCGCCTGCCCGCCAGGCTCGCAGCTCAGGGCGCACGCCCTGACTAATATGATTTTAAGGAAATTTATCTGAAGGGTAGGTAGTAGGTAGTTTGGTAGAAAGTAGATAAGGTCATGAGGTATACAATAACCTGTGTGTGATTTATTGAAGCCTGAACCTTGCCCGCCAGGAACTCAGGGTTTCACAGTTTATATAGTAGGGTTAGTCTAGTTTCTTACTTGAGTGACTGATTACATAAAGTTGCTGTTGTTGTTGTTAGGTGCCCTTGAGTTGGTACCGACTCATAGTGACCCTATGCACAACAGAATGAAACACTGCCTGGTCCTGGGTTAACCTCACAATTGTTGCCACACTTGATTCTATTGATGCTGCCAGTTTGCCAATCTATCTCGCTGGGTGTCTTCCTCTTTTTGTGTCTTCCACTTTACCAAATATGATATCCCTCTCCAGTGACTGGTCCCTCCTGACAATATGTCTGAAGTATGAGAGAAGTTTAGCCATCCTGGCTTGCAAGGAGCACTCTGGAGTACTTCTTCCAATACAGATCTGTTTGTTCTTTTGGCAGCCGGTGGTACTTTCAATACTCTCCTCCAACACCATAACTCAAATGCATCAATTCTTTTACAATCTTCCTTATTCACTGCCCAGCTTTCACGTGCATACGAGGTTATTGAAAATACCATGGCTTGTGTGAGGCATACCTTAGTCCTCAAGCTGACATTTTTGCTCTTCAACATTCTAAAAAGGTCTTGTGCAGTAAATTTGCCTAATCCAATATGTCGTTTGATTTCTTGACTGCTGCTTCCATGGATGTTTACAGCTGTTTCTTTTCATTTTGGATTGTGCCCCATCATCAAATCAAAGTCTTGAGGGCTTTACTCCATTTGTGTCATCACGGTCACCTCTACTTTAAGGAAGCAGCTCTTCCCCAGTCACATTTTGAGTGCTTTCCAACCTGAGGGGCTCATTTTCCTACACTATATCTGACACTGTTTCCTTGCTATTCATATGGTTTTCAGTGACTAAATATTTGGAAGTAGTTTGTCTCTCCTTCTGCCTAGTCTGTCTTCATCTGGAATCTCATCTGAAACCTTTCCGCTGTGGGTGACTCTGCTGGTATTTGAAATACCTATGTCATAGCTTCCAGAATCACAGAAACTCACAAGCCACCCCAGTACAACAAACTGACAGACTAGTGGTGTATTACATAAGGTAGAATAAGCAATATAGAAGAAGACAAGTCTAACTTAAAAATATTTCATTAGATATTCACAATTTACAAGCAGAGCTATCCTGAAGAAAGCTGATTCACTAACTGAAGAGATATCTCAGATGAAGACTAATGATTTAGCATTTGAATCATTCAGACAGATGGGAAACTCCATTATTTTGGAGCTAAGCAGAAGAAAGCATGCACCCAAAGAATTTTGAAAAAGAAACATTAAGGAACTGTGGTGAAGCCAGGAGAGAATCAGATTATGGAAGCCACTATATAGGATATTTTTTTATAGATTGGGAATGGGAAAATAGTGGGAAGAAATAATATAAACTGTGAGTTTAAAAACTGGGTATATATTGATATCAACAGAAATAATTTCCGCTGTAAAGTAGTGATCGAAGGAATGTTAAAGCTAATTGAAGAATGACAATTTTTAATTTTTAAAAATGCAGTCATGATAAATTATTACATTTAAAAGTTTGCTTGTAAAGGCAGAAAGATTACAGAATTTTAATGGGGAGAACTGGGGTTTAGTATGTAAAGTGGATTACAGAAATGAGGAGTAGCTTCTGGATTTCTAGAGTGTTTTAGAGTTATTTAACATAAGTTCTTTACTATTTCTGAGAGATGAAAATATCTAAACATGAATTTATTTTTCTAAAGTTAATGTAATGCTACTCAATCTACTCAACCAAAATACACCTAAAACTTTTTTGCTTTTAAAGACTCCAGTCAGTGCTCTGTAGTATCTTTTCATCTGACATTAAATTAGAATGAATTTTTACTGAACAGTGATGCACATAGGTTTTGAAATGTGTGACTCGAATAAGGTTTATCTTTGTGTATTTCACTGCAGGCATATAATGTTGTTTTTCTGTGAAAGAGCAATGAAACAGTTCATTTATTTGGGGAATATAACAGAATTCATTTTAAAGTATCTTAGTGATTTTTGAGCCATTTAACATTTATTTAACATGTTTTAGTACTTTTCTGTGGAATGGATTGCAGAATTATGAGTTGTTATATTTCCTTGTGAGTTCAACTTTAACCTAATGGATTATTTTCCAATTCAGAAGAACCAATGGTTCGTGTGTAATATAGTCATACAGTGTTGCAAACAGGGAGATCACTTTAAGGGAAGTATCATGCTCAGGTCTAGGAGAGCAGACTAGCAGGAAGTATTTAAGTATTAAACACCATGCTGATATTCCAGCTCATTTGATTTGCCAGGAATTTTCTATTCCCAGGATGACACTGCTTCTGCTTCTGGCTTGAGGCTATTTTTCCTCCTGCACATTCTCACCCTCCGCCTACCCCCATTTCAATGGTTTTAACAAATGCCATGTGGCAAATGCACCATTACTCTTTACTAGGCACAGTTCCTGCCTCACAGTAGGCTAAACTATAATGGCAACATTTGCTTCATATCCATTTGCCTTTATGGAATGTCACATCCTACATTAGGTACAAATCATTCTGATGTCTACCAGTCCTCACACTGTGAAGTAGTTTCTCTGAACTTTGAGTAGTGAGAAAACTAGGTAATAAGCCAAGCTTTCTTACTTGATAAATTTAGAAAGAGATCAACTGTTCTGTTTGGATTTTCACAATGAGGATGTAAAGATAGAAACCCAAATATAAATAAACTTTTTTTTTTTTTTTATAAAACTTTTTATTGTAAATTGAGTGAAGGTTTGTAGACAAGCTCATCGATTTACATTCAACAAATTATATACTTTGTTTCACTTCAGTGATTGTATTCCTTTCCACACACAAAAAAAGTTATGTAGTTTCCTCCCTGTAATTACCCATGTACAGATATCCTCTTTCAAACTCATATATCTGTGGGGTATATAAATATATATATTTATCCCACTCTGCCTCCCATACTCATTCAGCCTGTGTCTCTGCCCATGTATCTACACTGTTATACAAGGCTGGGTCTTATTTTAGTCATTTTTTAGGGAATGGATTGCAGAATCACCATTTACCTTTTTCCCTTTTAGCCCTTGCATACCTTCCTGTGTCTTCACCTATCTTTTTCATTCTTCTGTCGCCTCCCTCTTCTTATATATTACCCTCCACATCACCTGAGTTAACATGTGGTGCTGTAAGTAAAGCACTAGACCCCAAAGTCAGTGTGAATAACAAATCCGGTGGTTCAAATTCAGCAGCCACTCCTCAGAATGCTATTCATGGTTGCTATGAGTCAATAATACCACTCATCTTTCAGTCTGTAGTACTGTGGTGGCTTCTCTGTTGCTGTATTTCTGGAAGCTATGTCATGCAGATTTTAAATACCAGCAAGAACACTTATAATACAGTTTTCAGCTGAGGTTCCAGATGAAGACCGACTAGGAAGGAGAGACAGAATACTTCTGAATATTTAGACACTGAAAATCCTATGACTAGCAGTGGAACCAGTCCATTTTAACTCACTAATGCCTAAGATATCGATGTTTATGCGTTCCATTTCATTTTTGACCACTTCCAATTTTCCCAAATTCATACTTCGTA